ATAAGCTTGTTTTGATTAATTATTTGCTCTAATGCTTAGTTCCCCTGTCCTTTGAGAGATCAGTCACTTAAACTAATGGCTGCAGCATTCATGTGTGTGTCTCTCTCCAAGAGGTGAAAAGAAGAGCAAACAGCACCTTCCGCTGAAGGTGTCTTCAGTGAAGGTCATGCAAACTAAAGCTACAGGCTCTGTCTGACGACCCTGTTGTCTGATTTCATCCTTGCCTAAAGGATGAAATCAGCTTAATGCAGTTTGAAGACATCCCTCAAGGCAAATTAGTTTTTTACGCCAGCTCATTGGCTGCTAAACTTGAGTGGCTGAAAACGAAACTCCAGTTCAAGAAAAAGATTTTAGCTCGGTTTGTGCCTCTAAAAATATTTACAATGACATTTGATTAAAAAAACAAACAAACGGAAAGGAGTCTGGCTTCGAGAATCGCCCCGCTGGCAGGAACACCGAAGGCGCTGAAGAACAGTCACTCCCAGCTCACATAAGCGCTCGTATCTCTGCTGCCTGGCACATGGCTTTGGATGCTCTGCAATTCTGCCTGTGCTTGTGTAAAAGACACAACGCATTGTTAAGAGGGGCTCCAGAGCTCTCCTGATGTAGACCTCAGCCATTTGTCTCAGGGCCCGACTGTGTCTTGTGCTGTGCTCCGCCATACACCATGCAGGATTCTCATCAGCCCGTATTGAAAGCAAAATTAATTTTTTTTTATATATACTAAAATGAAATCTGTCTTCAAGAATCCCCCCCCTCTCTGCTGCCCCCCTGCCTCCTTCAGTTCCCCCATTGTCCTTCAGGAACAATGAATCCCTGACAGGCAGGCCATTTTCCTACCCTCCCTGGGCTTTTGTTCATCAAAGCAGGCTTTTGCAAGTGAAATTGACCCTCGTTTAGGGATTGAGAGGAGATGAACGCTTCTCATTCACTGGATCTGCTGAATTGCCACATCCTCTGTTTCCTGCTCAAGTAACCTGCGGACCGTCAAAATAAACAGCATGTGACCGTGTGTTTGTGTCTGCCGATAAGAGCCCCGGCGCATTGAATACCGTTCAGCCTGCAGAGTTAGCAAGCAGAGGTGATCAAGGGCTGTTGGCTTCATGCTCCCACAGGGGAGCTGCACACCTGTCCGCTCCGGAGATTGTGTTTCCTGCGGCGGACAGGGGGCGAGTCTTCGCCAGCAGCTGTCCCTTGCTTTGTCTCGTCCGCGCTTGTACTTGGGGGTGTGCGGTCTGGGTGTTCTGGTGCGGCGCGGGGAGACCACATGGAACAATAAGAGTGCTTGGAGGAAATCAGATTCGTTTTGCCTTTTCTGCGACGTGTACCAGTTGAAGATCGGGGTGGGTAGGATTTGCCTAAGGAAATTTCCAGCGCATGTTCCATTAATAACCCAAATGCCGTGTGAAATATGCAAAAATCTTAACGACTAGTGCCACTGGAGTTCCCAAAGATCCGTGCGCACTGTGAAAGTCTGTGGGGCACTCAAATAGCGACTTTTCTTCCGCTCTCTGCTGGTGGGTGTCCCAGAGCCCCCAGCGCTTATTTTAAGCAAGGCGAAGCCGACCTGGAGCCAGAATGGGGAGCGAGTAGGAGGGGTTGGCCTTTGACTCCACGTGGGGTCACATGGCGAGGATGGCAGAGGAGAAGGGAAAGAAGGATGAGCTTGTGAGGGGGGGGCTCTCGGTGGGCCAGAATCCCATGGGGCAACAGAGTGTCACCCAGGGTCGCATGGTGGGGCAAGAAGCCATGTTATGTGTTCCCCATTGTAATCCCTTAACCCAACGGGGAGCGGGTTCTCATTTAGAGTGGCGGCCAATTTGTACAGCAGGGTGTGGACAAGAGCAAGCCAAGGCAGCGTCCTGCTGGGGGTTTGAACCCGTGACCCTCAGGCCCAGAGTCCTGCTGGGTCACAGGAGGGTTCCCATCCTGAGGGGTCACATGCCACCCCCACCATTAAGCCCCCCCCCCCGACATCGCCCTGCAGAGGATAATTGCGCCCCCATCCGGGGTTCCCCCCCACTGCTTGCAGCTGGGCGCCCGCGAGGCTCCGAGGCCTACAGCTGTGGTTTGAGGTCAGGGCTTTGGCCTGTTGTCCTTTGAGTGGGGGGGGCAGGGGGGCGTATGTGTGCCGCCTGGGCAGAGAGAGCACACACCAGCGAGCAGGAAACCAAGCGTTTTTGGTCGTGGGGTCGTCGCCTCGCTGGTCGGCCCGTTGCGTCCTGCAGGTGCGGTCGCTGGCGGCGGTTGGGGTGGGGGGGCTCAGCTCTGT